ACACCCACACCCACACCCACACCCACACACATATATATATTGATCCGTTGAACTACATTTGTTTATATCAGCATATACATCACGCACCCAAGCGAAACGCATGACCCACCTGGTGCTGAAAATACCGTTGTTGAACTCATCCTCTGCTGTGAGTCCTGTGTGGAAGATGCGATTCATGGCCATCTGCTGCTCAACAATCACGCGGCGCGATATCCGCGTGCGGATCATTTTATCTAGAAACACCTGGAAAGAGAGAAAGTTCGGAACATAGGTAGGTGGTTTCCAACTTATGCGAAGAGATTTGGTATGTAGTTATTGGGTTTCAACGTGCCCCGGAACACCGGGAAACAGAGGGCGTTCGACACATACGTAGGTATTAAATCCTCAACTTATAATAAGAAATTTGGTATGCAGTTATTGAATTTTAACTACTCCAAAACATCTGGTAAGGGGGACATTTATTTATTAAGTTTCAACATATACAGAAACACCCTGAAACAGCGGGAGTACAAAGCATATGAAATTAATAGATTTCATTTCGTCCAGAAACATATGGAAAAAGAGAGAAAGTTCTGTGTAGCAACATTTGGAGGAGAGGGCAAAGTATAGCTCGACTGGATGTGTGGTGATCAAAATATAAAGGATCCAGCGGAAGCTGGAGTGAGGTTTACGTTGCGAAGCTCAATGTGTATGTATAGACGATTCTAGCTTCTTCTAAACAAACCTGGAGTGAGGGGAATGAGAAAAGATCAGTATGTGATCATGTAATTATGCCTCAATGAGTGCCACCCCACGCCGACAACTCTTTATTCACAGGTATTGTGAAGAATAACCATGGCAAGTACTATAATACAGTCTACGAGATTGAAATCCGAACAAGCGGTTGTGAGTAACCAAACCATCCCCTCCACAGACACTTGTAACTCAGCAATGTAGCATATATATATATATATATATATATCTATCAGCATACTCACAGCAATACCTTCAGTTCCTCGGCAGTCATATATGGTGCGATTTCTGGGGCGGCCAGGGCCAGTGTAGGTAAGACATCGCTATGTCTGCTCAGATGCTCGCGAATGCGTTTCATATATCGTGCTTCATCGGTTGCGTTGGTGACTGGGTCTTGTTGGCTAAAGTCATCGAACGCGTTGAGATACAGCAGATATATCTAAATGGGTAGAAAATAATAACGTTAGATGTCAGTGAACTCGTTTAACGCGCTGAGATACAGCAGATATATCTAAATGGGTAGAGAAGGATAATGTTAGGCGTCAGTGAACTCGTTTAACGCGCTGAGATAGTGCAGATATGTCTAAATGGGTAGAGAAGGATAACGTGAGAGGTTAGTGAACTCGTTTAACGCGCTGAGATAGTACAGATATATCTAAATGGGTACAGAAGGGTATGGTAATGTACATTGGGATGCATGTGTGCTTATGCGAGTACGTATAGACATACTGTTATACGTTTTTAGCTGTATGCATGGTGCCTATTGCATCTCGCCAAAGCGTTTATCTATAGACAGAAATGTTTCCCAGTGCAGAAGAAAATACATTTCCCCCAACTAATACATGTTGTATTGTACGTGTTCGCCACAAGGTGCTTATGCTCCGTAATAGGTTCATTAACCGTTTGCTATATCCGAGAATGGTCTGTACGCAAGCCCACTACACGCAACTAATGCATTTCAAAAACTTATAACCGCACCCATCTAGCACCTCATAACTAAAACATTGTATAAACTTATAACTAAAACACTGTATAAACATATAACTAATAACTAAAACATTGTATAAATTTTAACCACACCCATCCAAACCTTATGAATGTGCTCAAAACATCCAACTGATATATACTCAACTACACCCAGCCAGCACACAACACACGTAATCACTACAACAAAACCAAGACCCAATACCTTGTATATGTGTTCATTCTAAAACGAGCACCTCAGAAATGTCCTCATAACATCCATCTAATGTCTATATGTTCGGTACCAATACCTTGTATATGTGTTCATTCTAAAGCGAGCACCTCAGAAATGTCCTCATAACATCCAACTAACACCTTGTCTATATGTTCGGTACCAATACCTTGTATATATGTTCGTTACAGCCCACTATGTATGGCAGATTCTGTATGTCCATGATACGGGCGGCAAGTCGTCTGGGGAGCTCTTTCTGCAAATAGTTGGCACCGTCTAGCAACTGTTTCTCACTGGGGATCGGACCCAGAGAGAGCAACTCCTTAAGTGTCAGCCGGCGAAGGGAACTGCTCCGAATTGGGAAGGTATTTGTTAACATAGAATACATTAGAAATGTATTACTAATATTATTGTATTGAAAAGGGTACTTGTTTCTTGTTATCATTAGATGGCGAAGTAAAAGCATTGGTTACTATTACAATACGTGATTTAGGTATACGTGTCAGGTCAGGGAGTATGAGGAAATATCTGATTTTAAACCGATCGACAAAATATAAAGTAAGGCTGTCGAAGAAAGTAACAATTAAGACGACATTGTACATACAACCACCATCTGATTCATGAGAAACAACTGAGTGGCAGCCTACCAATGTCTATAT